CCAGCATAGCAAGAGTCCGTTTTCTTCTCCAGTCTTGTTAGCCAAAAAGAAAGACGACACGTGGAGGTTCTGTACTGACTATCGAGCTCTGAACACTGCAACTATCAAGGACCGATTTCCTATCCCTAGCGTCAACGACATGCTCGATGAGTTAGCTGGGTCACGCTATTTCTCAAAACTCGACCTGAGAGCTGGTTACCATCAGATTCGACTCCATCAAGCCGACATTCCAAAGACAGCATTTCGTACGCACCAGGGGCACTATGAGTATCTAGTCATGCCATTCGGATTATGCAATGCCCCATCCACTTTCCAGTTCGCTATGAATTCCATCTTCAAGGAGTATCTGCGTAAGTTCGTTCTGGTATTCTTTGATGATATCCTGATCTATTCGAAGTCATGGGGCGAACATCTTGGGCATTTGAGAGTAGTGCTCGAAATTTTGGAGGCCAACTCATTCCACATCAAGCCATCCAAATGTTCATTCGGGCAGATGATGGTTGAGTATCTAGGGCACTTCATATCGCACGAGGGCGTGAAGGTTGATCCACGAAAGATTGAGGCTATGATCGATTGGCCAAAACCGACAAGTCTCACACAGTTGAGGGGATTTCTAGGACTCACGGGCTACTACAAAAAGTTCGTGAAGGATTATGGAACCATCGCCAAACCACTGACAGAGATGAATAAGAAAGGCGGGTTCACATGGACCAAAGCTAGCGAGGAAGCATTTGGGAAACTGAAAGAAGCCATGACTACAACGCCAGTACTCGCCATGCCCAGGTTTAATGTCTTGTTCGAGGTACACATCGATGCGAGTGACATTGGAATTGGAGTTGTGCTAGTGCAAGAGGGACGACCCTTAGCTTATCTCAGCAAGGCACTAGGCACTACACGATTGGGTCTATCGGTGTACGTGAAGGAGATGCTAGCAGTTGTCGAGGCTGTAAGGTGCTGGAGGCCTTATCTATTAGGCCGACGTTTTCAGATTGTTACTGACCAGCAACCGCTTAAGCATCTATTGGAGCAAAGGATTATTACCCCCGAGCAGCAGAAGTTCGTATCTAAGCTTATGGGGTTTGACTTCGAGATAATCTATCGACCGGGTCGACAGAATGCAGTAGCTGACGCACTATCCCGACGAACGGATGTAGCCGAGCTGAATGCTATCACTGGGACAGCTTGGACTATTTGGGAGGAAATCAGGAAGGCGCAAGTGAAGGACACCTATTGCCAGGAGCTGCGCCAATCGATCAAAGCAGGTAAGACAACTGCTATCGGCTACGAGTTGCATAATGGTCTGTTACTACACCGAGGCCGAGTATTCGTTCCCGACAGTGGGCAGTTACGTGAGCAAATCATGCAACACTTCCACGACACTAAAATTGGAGGCCACTCGGGTGTCTACCGCACATGGATGAGAATAGCCAACACCTTCTTCTGGCCCGGACAACAGAGTACCGTTCGAGACTACATAGCACGGTGCGACGATTGCCAGCGCACTAAGTCTGACTCACGACGATCGAGCGGGCTGTTGCAACCTCTACCGGTACCCGAGGCGATCTAGAAAGACATTACTATGGATTTCATCGAGGGACTACCGAATTCTAATGGATTTGACGGT